AAAATTTATGGTAATATCTTTTAGAATAAGTTAATTAGAAATATTTTAAAACAACACAGATAATCTTCCAATGAGAAATAATGTAATGAAAAAATTTTTAAAAATCTGACAATGCGTTAAGGTACTTTATTTATATATCTAAAATTTATTTGTGTATAGATTATTTCCGATGGCTCTTTTGGTTCAGAAATTCTAAAATTCCTCAAACATTTGTAATCTTCATTAGTTATACAGAGTTCGGAATTCTATAGTTTTGAAAATGATACCTCTTTATATGCCCTTTTTATTAATCTATTTATTAACTCTTTAAAAAGTACTATAGTATGATGACGATGTCTTTTGTTTACACCAGGGTTTAGCTGGACCAGAAGGTCATCCAGGTCCTAAAGGTGCACAAGTAAGTAGGCATTTCCATTATTTTGTTAAGCATGCTTGCCTAAAAGTGGAATGAAATATATAAAACACTTACACTCTCTTAGTAGCTTTGAATTTAATTCAGATGTAGCATGAATACACTTGCATACTACAGTAGTTACTTTCACTTTTATGGTGACAGAAAACAGTCTCATTGTGGTAGGTTTTGCATAATTATTTTATATTTATTTCCATAGCATAATATCTGGCATGTTTAGAATGTGCTCTATAAACATTTGTAGTATTATTTATATATGAATGGATACAGACCTAAGGAAGTCATGATGTAAAAAATATGAAGAGGTAAGGAAATTCATAGTGGTTCAAGGCTGAGATAATTTTATTATACAAAAACTGTCAGGAGTAAAGAAATATCTGCAAAGAATGAAATAACCTTATTGTATCCAGAACATCCCATTTCACTCCCAAACCATTAAAGGAAATGTTAGCCATTTTTAGTCACTAAGGAAGCAAAATAAACGTTTCTATATTATATTGTATTAGTTACTTTTTGCATCACTATAAATACCTGAGGTTGGGTAATTTATAAAGAAAAGAAGTTTAGTTGGCTCATAGTTCTGCAGGCTATGCAGATAAGGCGGCATTTGCATCTTGTGAGAGCCTTGGGAAACTCAAATAGTCACAGGAGAAGGTGAAGGGAGAGGAGGCAACGTCACAAGGTGAGAGTGGGAGTAAGAGAGAGAAAAACGGAAGGTCCCAAATCTTTCAAATACCCAGATCTTGCTTGAGTTGAGAACTCACTTATCACCAAGGGGATGATGCTAAACCATCAATGAGGGATCCACCCCCACGATCCAGTCACTTCCCACCAGGCCACACCTCCAACATTAGGAATCACATTTTAACATGAGATTTGGAGGGGACAAACATCCAAATCATATATATGTAGTGTATAAAATAAAAAATATATTTTTAAAATTCTTTTTTTTAATAGCCAGATATTTTCCAAAGTCTACATTTGTGCCTTATATTATCTAAAATACCTTTCGTTTTGTTTTGTTTTTGGTTTGAGATGGAATCTTGCTCTGTCGCCCAGGCTGGAGTGCAATGGCACAGTCTAGGCTCACTGCAACCTCTGCCTCCCGG